TGCCCGGTCAGGCCTCTCCTCGCTACTGTGGCGCTGCTCTTCTCTCTCAAAGAGCAGAAGGCAGGTGCCTTCTGGAGCGCTGCAGGAAGCGGCGAAGCTCCTGGAGGAAGGGAGGGATCAAGTTTGGCTTCATCTAGCACTAGACGGCTCCCTGCACGATGCATGAGGGGTGTTTTGGAGCTCCGCCTGCAGGGTTTAGCCTTCCCAGTGCATTGCAAAGGGATCATGGCGCATGCTCGGCAGGAGCTCCCCACGTGGAAAGCGTTGCCTGGGGTCCCTATGTCCCTTTCTGGATCTGGGCTCCTCCCCCTTTTTTTCTTTGTTTTTTTCTTTTTTGCATTTTGGGAGAATGATGTCCAGGTGGCTGATTCTGCCATAATTTAACAGCAGCTCGCTCATCTGCTGTCACGCTAGGACCAGTAAGAGGCCACAGCCGCCAGTGCGAGTTTGACAGAATGAATCATAGCTGTAATCGAATTTCTCACTGTACCGCGCAGTCCTTACTTCCTCTTGCACTAATTCGTCCCACTGCTTGTTTTTCATTTGCTGAACATGCAAGGGAAATACTGGTGCACCACAGCTTGCAAAAGTCACGCTGAATGTAGAAGTTACCGCTGTTTATTCTTGTGCAAGCTGGTGACAAGAGAGGGACGCGAGACTGGTTGTAGGGTCAGACCAGAAGTCCGTCCAGCTCATTTTTCCGCCTCTGGTGATGAGCAGTGGCCAATGCTTGTGGAAAAGGTGCAAGGAACAGGACAAGTGCAGCCCTCCCGACTTGCAAAACCGGTGGCTGTGAGCTGGCCAGGGTAGTAGCGTAGCCCTAACTATGCGTATAATGTGCCGTGTTTTTTTTTTTTAAATCATTATTATTTTTCTTCAGTGAAGTATAATTCAGGATTTATTACAGCTCAAATGAATTATCTTCACTCGAGCAAAAAATATTTACCCCTCGGATTACATATTTAGAAGTTTGGCTCAATCGTGTTCAGCATCTGCTTCTTCAGGGAAGCCAGTCGCTGTGACCGTCAGCTAAAACGATAACCAGAGGAGAGAGAAAAAGGAAGAACAGAAACGAGTCAGAGAATTTCAGGAAATCTGAACGTTGCAGAAGCGCTGAGAACCGTCTCGCTGATCTCTGCTCGGCAGAAGGGCATCAGCTCTTGCAGGGCCGGACGCGTAGCACTGCTTTTATTTTTTTTAACCCCAGTAGAGATTTCTTTGCCCTTCTGCAAAACTGGAGGGGGTTTTTTTCACTCCCGGAATATTTAAAGGCATATTTTTGTGTGTGTTTTGCTATCTGAAGGGAGGAAACGAAGTCATCGTGTTTCAGCTCCTGGAAAATTAGCCTCAAGGGGATAGTGCCATGGAAGGACATTTGTTATTTCTTGGGGATAGCCCATGCGACGGTGAGGGCCTCTGGCGCCTGTCGTTCGTTATACGAATGTCTGACGAAAAGATGGTTCCTTCCCAGAGGAGTCTGAAGCTTGATCTGTAACACACAAGGCAATTTTTAAGGAAACCTTAACTTTTTTTTATCTTGCAGGAACCTCCAGTGGACAAGAGTTAACGCATATTAGTGGTTGCCTGGGTCCTGACGGCTCTAACGTTAATAATCCTTAGCGTTATTTTAGTGAATATCTATTAAATTTAGTTGTTATGTATTAAAAAGCACGCTGAAAGTACTGGCTTTGTAAGGAGGCCCAAATTAATGGTTTGAAAGGTTTTACAAATTTATCAGATGAACGGAAATCTGAAAAAAAAAAGAAATCCACTTACGGGAAAAAAAAGACAGCTTTGATTCCTGCAAATCCTATAGATACCATATTTAAGGATCTAATTTAGGTTGTGGTTTGTGAAGGTATTTATGGATTATTGACATTTCCAATCTCTGTACTTCACTCTGAAATTAATTAGAAGGCGATAGATTTGGAAACGTGCGGCACGAAGCCAGTGTAACGCAAGGTACTCGCAGAGCGCCTTCGTTCGCGGGTGCCCGAGTATTATATGAAAAAAGTAATTTGGAAGCGGAACGAGTGAGAGGATTCCTCCCTTTTTTATTAAGTAGAGGGTTAGCAATTCGCTGGCTGAAAAAGGCGAGCGTTGCTGCTGTGCCGGCCAGTCCAGATTTTGTCCTCGGCCTTCTGGGGAGGAGGAGGAGGATACGCCCCGACGGGCCCACGCAAGAAGGGAGAAACAGTCGTTCTGGAGGCTTGAATTTGCTTGGAAATACGAATGGGGAAACGTTAATCGAGTCGCAGGCCCCTGACCTGAGCAAAAGCGCTGGCCAAGCGTAGGACGCAACTACCCCTGCCGCCGCGTCCTCGCGCCGGTGAAGAAAACGAGCGGTTAGCGCTGGTCAGGTGTTAATTGTGCTGGCAATTAAGAGCACGCCTGCAGAGGCTCAACCCAGCGGCGCTCCGTTAACGCGGTTGCGCCGTTTCTCCGGGCATCCGCCTGGCGGCTCGGCAGCCTCCGGTCGCCTTCCAGCCGGAGCAAGAGGAGAAAGTCAGGAGGCGGGGAAAGCCCTCCTGTGTCTTGCCCCGACTTGCGGAGCTGCTCCCCGCTTACTTCTGGCCTCTCGCAGCGCTGGGGGAGCTCGCGGGGCGAAACAACCGCGGCTTGCACCAAGGGAAGCGGCGAGGGGAGGAGGCCCTGCAGGCCCAGCCAGCCGCCGGGGCCTCGTGGGACCCAGCCTCCTCGGCACCACGACGATAGCGCCGTAGCTGCTTTTCACTCGTTAACGCTACAAGGTTTTGGACTCCTGTTTACAGCCCTATGAGCACTTTTTGATATTTAAAGCGATTTCCTCCCCCCCACCACCCCAAGTGCCACCTAAAGCAGGTGGCTCTCCGAGACGCGGGGCAGGATTGCGCAAGCGTCTCTTTGTGCCCTTGATTTAACTCCCCAAACTTCTCTGTTAGCGTCCCAGGAGAGCGTTTGCCCGCGTGAAGTAGGCATCGCCCTAGCTTTCCGCCGGCCTGGGGCTAAAGATGTCTTATTTTCTAAAGTTTCTCCCCGGAAGAGCTGCTTCCGCGCACGAATCCGCATCAGTCGCGTTTCAGAGGACGCGGGTTTCGTTTTGCTCCGCGAACCTGACCCAAAGGCGGCTGGTGACGAGATACCGCAGAAATTTCAGGGGGCTTTGTATGTCCCAAGCGCTGGGTCGTCTTCCTCTTAAAGGTTTCTGTAAAGCGAAGCTACGTCTGCGTTTTGTTCGGCTTGTCTGCATGTTTTCCAGTGCACAGGAGAGGAAGGGCTTTATATACGCATGTAAAATGTTCACATACTGTATGAGTAGCTAAAGTAAGTTAATGAAACTTCCTTTTCATGTGAAAGAGGTGAAGAAAAGTACCTGGCCAATACAGTACCATTAATCTATTCTCTTTTCTCCTTTCTCTCTTTACTTCTCTCTCTACAATAGAAGTGGAAAAAAAAGGTAATTAAATACCTTTCAAATTATATATATATATATATAAACTTATGTATAGGCTAAGTTATTTAACAGCTTAACGTTTTAGTTGAAACACTTTGTCATTAATTCTCACTACTTTTTTTTTTTTGTTAAAATTTATTCAGTATCTCTGCTGCTCAACTTCACTAGATAACTCATATTCGCTGCAAAGCGTTGCCAGTGCCACTTTCTTCCGTTAAATTGCTCTTCAGAGGTTTAGACCGTTCCCTTCTCTCCAGCCCCAAAGAATTTGGAAAAGCGTGCGTACATATGTGTATTATGTGTATGCGTATATCAATACGCGCGCACGTCTATACAGATATATACGTATGCATACGTATATGTATGCTGTAAAAGCCTCTTAGAAACAGCGCCGCTTTATTAGCTGCTGCGGGTGGTTGCTTAGACTCCAGTAGCGCAACGTGCTTCTGCACCAGCTGCTAAATCTCATTTTCCTGCATTATCTCAATTTCTGGATTTTCAGCAATAATTGGTTGCACTGGAAGCAGGGCGGGCGCGTGGCGGGATCCCCCCCTCGTCCAGCTCCCGGAGCCCCGGCGGCTCGGTTTAGCCGGCAAGGCGTTAGGGTAGGGTGCCGCGGCCGCCGAAGCCTGGGCGGGCTGCCGGCCCCCCGCCCCGGAGTCTGTGTTTTTTGTTTTTTTTCCTTTTTTTTTTTTTTTAAGTTTGATTTACTACTATATTTAACAGGACATTTTTTTTAACTGATTAAAATCTAGACCTTGGGTTCCTCTGCAAGCAAACTTGGTTCTTTTCCTTCCTTCTCTCCTTCCTTCCTTTTCTTTTCCTTTCAGCGTTCATACATCATTCGTTTTTAATCGTGTGGACTGCATGTTGTGTGTGTCCTGTAGCCGCTTCTCTTATTTCTAGTGAAACCGCTGGTCTGTAGTGGGGTTTTCTCCCTCCTTCCCCCCGCCCCCGTTGGCTTCTCGTACCCTGCTGAGATGCTGAGGGGGTTCACCTCTGCTTCGCTCTCGGTACCCTTTAAAATAGTTAACGCCGCTTGGGCTGTAAGGATGGGACTCTTGTTCTCTGACTTCCATTTCTAGGGCCGTTCTTCCGGGGGGCGGCTCAAGATAGACCTGTGGAGCAGTGCCCCGGCGAGGGTGCCCCTCCACCTCGTAGCTCTGCATCCGCTCTAGAGCGCCCCCGGGGAAGCCCGGACCCGGAAAGCCCTCCGGGCTGCTTGGTCTGGTCGCTTTGCAGGGGGCCGAGTAAGTACACCCTGTAAAACCAGGTTGGGCAAGCGATAAGGAAAGGAAGCGGAGTCGATAGAAAAAGCAGCGCAAAAAAAAAAAACAAAAACAACAAAAAAAATCAATTTGGCGGAGCGAGTCTTGTTCTAGCCGCGCGGCCAGCGTGAAGGCAAGCGCGCGGCACCGCTCGTGGGCTGCTTCGGATCTCGACTGCTCTCTGCTGCAGACCTAGAATAAGTTAGGAGCTTGTGCCAACCCCCCCAGAGCTGTCATTAACGCTATTTTTTTTTTTTTTTTTTGTTTTAAACTCTTTTTCTTTTCCCCCACCCCGGCAGTTTTTCTTTGTCCCGGCCTGCTAAAAGGAGTATACCAGAGCGAACATTTGTTTGAGTCGGACCACCAGTCCGGGGCCTGGTGCAAGGACCCTCTGCAGGCGTCCGACAAGATCTACTACATGCCCTGGACGCCGTACCGCACGGACACGCTGACGGAGTACTCCTCCAAGGACGACTTCATCGCCGGCAGGCCCACCACCACCTACAAGCTGCCGCACCGGGTGGACGGCACGGGCTTCGTGGTGTACGACGGGGCCTTGTTCTTCAACAAGGAGCGCACCAGGAACATCGTCAAGTTTGACTTGCGGACCAGGATCAAAAGCGGGGAGGCCATCATCGCCAACGCAAATTACCACGACACCTCTCCCTACCGCTGGGGTGGCAAGTCCGACATCGACCTGGCCGTGGACGAGAACGGGCTGTGGGTAATCTATGCAACCGAACAAAACAACGGCAAAATAGTCATTAGCCAGCTGAACCCTTACACCCTGAGGATCGAAGGGACGTGGGATACCGCCTACGACAAGAGGTCAGCCTCCAACGCCTTCATGATCTGTGGGATTTTGTACGTGGTGAAGTCGGTGTATGAGGATGACGACAACGAAGCCACGGGGAATAAAATAGACTACATATATAACACTGACCAAAGCAAGGATAGCATGGTGGACGTGCCCTTTCCCAACTCCTATCAGTACATCGCTGCTGTGGATTACAATCCCCGGGACAACCTCCTCTACGTGTGGAACAACTACCACGTGGTGAAGTATTCCTTGGATTTCGGACCGCTGGACAGCAGAGCAGGTAAGGGTTTTTGAATACTGAGGGGGAAAAAAAGCTGATTCAGTTGTTGTTGTTGTTGTTTTCTGAATTAGGTGTAAAATTGAAGTACGCTCCTGTGTTATTGATCTGCCAATGTTTGTAAATCAAGCGCCAGTTGCAAGGCTTATAAGGGATGTGCAGAGTTTAAGACATGCAGAATATACATATATATATATTTTTGTATCCTCGTGTGAAATGAAACAGCAAAAGGAATGTATTTTGCCTAACTGACTTGAACCACTCTCCAAATGTCCGCTCTTATGTTAGCAGCACCGTTTTCTTCTCAACTGCGTTTTGCCCTGTCCTTCGGCGGGGATTTCTGTGCAGCAAAGTGCAGAAGACGCTGTTGCTGCCAACAGCGTGGGGCAAATTGCCGGCTGCTTTAAACCACTTGTTTCCATTAGATCGGTGGAGTTTTGGCCTTTTACAGAAGTTGCCCCTAATTCGATATGTGGGTGTGCGCACGCAAGGGTACATGTAGAAGTCAGTGGGGGAATCGGTAACAAAATCTTCCAAATTGTTTATCTGATTTTTTTTTATTTAAAGTTGCTCTTTTAAAAAAAAAAAAAAAAAAGGCATTTCACTTGGATCGTAAAGTCTAAATTTTATAACGCTTTCTCTGAAAGAGCAATGTCCGACCTTTGGAGGTTTTCCGGCTTTCCGTGGATTTCTATCAGAAATTACTCTGGTAATTATTTTCGTTGGGTTGGTCACTTAAGGAAGACCAGTTTCTTCATCCTTTTGCAAGTGTTACGCTCACAATTACTGCCGCGTTAGTAGCCTGACTTAGCCTAGGTGTGGTCAGACTCGCTCGATGGTGCAAGAATTTCCAATCTGTGTTTTCTTTAACATTTTCAAATGAATACTCCTGTACCCAAACTTAAAGCGTAACAGTTACCGGGTACTTCATGCGCTGGACTGTGTATTTCAGGAATGCTGAAAAAGTAATGAGAAAGGCAGAATTAATATGATTTGGATAGTAAGCTATTTGATGGGTGAAACGGTTATTCTGCAGATGACCTCTTTTTCGTTAAACTTAAGAAAGAGAAGCGGATGAATGGATTCAGGTCTTTAGACTGCAAAGGAGAAATCTGGGGAGGGTTGGGACGGAAGGAGTAAAAGGGCAGCGAATGTCCAATTTTTATACCAAAATGTCAGGAAGACGAGAAAGAAACCTTCAAGAGGCAAATGAACGAAATGTTGCGTGTGTTAGGAGAAGAGCCAGGGCCGCCTTCAGACACGTTGCCCTCAGCAAGATCTTTGACGAGCAAAAAATGAAGTAATACTTTTCGTTCTCGCAGCTTAATGATGAGCACGTACTTTCCGAGTGGTGGAATGAAGCAGAGCAATTTATGAGTTATCGGTTATCCCCAAGCAGTGAAAATCGATTGCATCCCTTCTGTTTCTGAGGGCTTCTCTCCTTTTCGATGAATCATTTTCAGCTCTTACAGCAGACTCTCTGCTGCCCCTTTTTCACAGGGGGAGCGTTATCAGTAATTGCATCTTAAAAACAAAAAGGCAAAAACCCTAAAATTGTGTACTTTTGATTTAAAAAAAAAAAAAGCACCCTTTTTCCTCAATCGAATCTAAGTTGGTGAGATGCGAGAGCAGATTAAAATCTGGCAGGGGGCTGGAAGTCCGTTAGGTGTGACGCTTTGATTTGTCCCTATATTATGCTGTTTGACTGCAATTTGAAGCACCTTTAGTTTCACAGAGGTTGGGATGAGATTTAAAATCCACCGGTGCCTAAAACTGAAAGTTGAAGTATAGTCTTTTGGCTTTGGGTGTTGGAAAAGAGAGCGTAAGTTTATGTCAGGGAACGTGGCATTTCTGACCGTTCGAAGTGAAGACCCCAGATTTCTTCTTAAGGCAACGGGGTTGTGCGTTCTGGCCTCTGCCGTTAGGTGTTTGTCAGGATTTTGCCTTTGGGGGCCAGCGGTGCTCGCGGACAGCAGGTTTTTTACAGCCAGTTTCCGCAGGGTTACAGGTGGAGCGGCAAAATATGTAAACAATATCTGCTTAATTAGAAAACGAAAAGACCGACTGTAAAATTGATGGGTAGTAACAAATTAGTTGTTAAAAAAAACAGTTGCGGGTGAAGTTTTGAAAACGGAGCTCTTAAAAGCAAAAATTGATTGTTACGAGAAAAGTGACGTATTTAACAACCTGAACAGCCGGTAGCGTGTTTGAAATAAATTCGAAATCCCTTCGTATCATCCGTTGCGAGGATATGTAAAAAATAAGCACCAGGTGCTTGGGTCTCCCGTTCACTTAGTCTCAAGCCCTGTTTTCAGCCTTTTCCCAATCCGTCCAGGGAAAATGGGAGAAGGCGGGAAGCTTTCCGCTTAGGGGGCCGGTGGGAGTTGTACCCCCTCACCCGTCACAGTGATGAAATGTGTTCTGCGGATTTTAGTTACAGGGGTGTTTGTGCGCGTAGCTTTGGTACCTATTTGAGATCTTTGCTGTCGCGGAGCTTTTCTGAGCTGTTGTTGAAGAAATGTGCTTGCGCTCCCCGGAGTCAGGGACTGGCGGGACGAGGTGGTGGAGCCGCTTTAGCTGTCGCCGTTGAAGGTAATAGAGAAAGGAGAAGGCACGGAAACCTTAGTTGGCTTCAGCCAATCTGGAGACAGTTCGGGGCTCTTGGTTGGCTTAAAACAATTGCTGATTTCTCTCAAGAAGTGGTAAATGCCGAATTTCAAAGAGCTCCCCCGCTCGATTTTTTTTTTTTTTCCTTTTGGTTTTTTCCCTTTTCATCATGTTTTTCTCGAGTTGTCTGGTCTCTAAACGACACCATGCTTTGGAGGACACTTTGCCACAAATTCATCTTAGTTGTTTTTTGGGTTTTTTTTTTTCCTGTATAGCTGGTTTTGTGTTTGCTCATTTGAAGTGACAGCGAGAAGATAGCAGACGGCAGGTCTAGCTGTACTCTCCATAACATGCTTCAAAAAGTTTAACCCGGAGAAATGTTCAGGTTCTTGCCTTTCTTTTTTTTTTTTTTCCCCCTGTGTGCCACTAGGCACGTGTGGAGAGAACACCCAAAGGTTATATCAACAGACTGAAAATTTTTCCGTGACCTAATCCATCTTAATAGTCACCAGAGTTACTCATTTTAATCATCACCCACTTGTGATACAGTCTGGGTAAACAAATGCAAGAAAATGTCAACAAATCCTCCTCTCCAAAAAATGAAACCCCTCCAACAGCTTTTCCTGTTACTAGGCTGCATACAAAGGAGCATTTCCCCATTTTTGCTTCTCCGAATCTACTGCTGCCCTGGATTTTGTCCCCATAAGGGTGGGTGCTGTTGCGGTGTCCCCCAAGAGTTGGAAGCATGAGATTTTTAGCAAGTGCTAGGAAACGTGGACCTGCTACTTTTGAGGACCCGTCTTGATCTTCCCACTTGAGTAATGTTGGGGAGACCCAAGTACTACTATATTGAGTATTTAATAGACGTATGAAGTTAAGCAAACATGCCCTTATACATAAGAAAGACAAGGATCTGTTATAGCACTTCCCATACAGCCTCTGTGCACTTAAGTGGCTTTCATATATTGCGTGTTAACTGCCAGTCACGTCATGAAGAGCGATATGAAGCTACCATCTATATCTATGGTCTTTTAAAAACCTTAGAGGGTGCACACCAAACCTTTATCCTCCGCGCTCACATTACATATTGCAGGACGCTCTCCTGACATGTGATTGCAACCATTCAATTCAGTAAGGGTTTTTTTTTCCTTTCTTCCTTGCTTTCTCCTAAAGCAGTTTTACAATGCAGCTAAGGTGAACCTTCTGTCCTTATAATATGCTAATTAAGTGCGTTTGTGTCGTGGGTAAAAGATGTGGCGTCGTGGTGATGAATAAGAACTTTAAACACATATGACACCTCGTTAAAATGTAATTTTCACATCATAAATCTGAGGCCTTTCTGTTGACAGCTGAGTAATGTGGATAGTGGGCCGAGAGTCTCCAACGTTTCTAAGCTGTCACGTGCTCATAGGTAGCCGAGACGGGCTTGCTACGTCACGCACCTTCAGCGCGCTCCGTCCTTGCCGGGGAAAGGCATCAAACGGGCTGGTTCTTTCTTAAATCCCGCTTGTGCACCGGATCTGAATTGCTATCACCTCGATAAGACGCATTTGACGTCTCTGAAGTCGGATTCAGGCTGTGTTTCAAGAGGCCGGCTGAGCCTTTTTGGATGAGTAGCTTCCCCTGGAGGACAAGGGGCTGTTTTTAGGTATCTGCTGAGTGTTTAATTGCAGCTTCTGCTGCGTTTTTGTTTTCCAGCTGCTTTGCTCCTATCTTTCCTCCTGTCCTACCTAGCTCTCCCGCTTCTGTTCCTTGTCACTGCCTATGGTGACAGCACCTGGTTGGACATTGTGGCTGGAGGTTGGCAGGGGGGACTAGCCCTTGCTTTCAGTAGCTGCTCTCCTGTGGCATACCGCGACCTAGAGCCACGGCTTTTGTCCTCCGCTATTTGCCCATATATGCGCATCCCAGGTCTTCTATAAATATTTCAGTGCCTGGTGACTGTCTTAAGTTTGCAGGTGAAGAAAGCAGCACAGAGACTCTTCATCTTCACAGCCAGGCTGGCGTCTCAACCTACATTTGGTGGCTGGCCAGTAGCTTAGGAGGACCCAGAAGTGCACATATCACATTTCTTCCCCGTTTTGAAGCCTGACACGTCTCTTCATTTTTGTCCTTTTAAAACGTTGCCCTCTTTAGAAAACGGTGTTTGATTAAAAATGCTAACAGAGTATTGTGCCACAGGATGCTTTCCTAAAAGTACTGATTTTCTGCCTTTTGTTAGGAAAGCTGAAGTTTGCACTCTTTCTTCTACCTTCTCACAAGACACCTCAAAAAGTGCAAGACTCCTAAGCGTCAAAACACTCCCTTTGTGCAGCTCTGCATAAATATTAATGCTGTTTGGTTAGCACAGCGGGAGTATCTTCAGTGCCTCTCCAGAATGAATAAATGTGTGCTCA